CCCCAAAACCCCAAAACCCCAAAACCCCAAAACCCCAAAACCCCGAGAGGCACATTATTTATTGAAAATATAAAATAACTAATGGCAGAAATAAAACATAGCCCCTCAGCTCTAGGGGTGAACTCAAGGAAGGTAATCGACCAGCTGAAGAAAGAAGTCTTCAGAAATAAAATGAAGTTATATAAAAATGTAGATCCGCCCACTACTCTGGACTTGGTAAAGAGTAATTTTGGTAATAGCCCTGGAACGAGACCTAGCTTGATGGAGAAATCACCTATGAAAGAGTACTTTAACACTCAAACTGCTGAGCAAAATACACATGGCTTACACAAAGAGTCTAACAAGATCTTGAATTAACTCAAAGCTTCAGAACATAATCTCTAAATTTAAAAGAACTAATAGTTGTGAGAGAACTCCTGATATGAACAATAGCTTAAGCAAGTATTTTAATGACAGCACAAGGTAAGGTTTAATTAAACTTTTAGGAGATTACTTAAAGATGCAACAAAGATATACCCACAAGCAAAAAGTAGAAACTCATTATCAACAGTGACTCATTCAAAAATTAATCTTCCAAAAGTGTCAGATCTTAGTTCTGAAGGAAGCCCTTCTAAGTCTCCAAATCTCACTTTTGGGAAAAAGCCAAATAAAATTGAGGATAATTCAGATGATATCTACAAAATCTATACTTCAAAAGCTTATCGGTGAGTAGCATTCCTTTAATTATCTCTCATTAATATTCAATCGAAGTATTTCTTCATGGAGATACATCTTATGAAAAATATAGGCCAAAGAAGAAGATTGTTCATTACTCAGGTTCAGATAATGAAAAGCTCCCATCAAGCTATTTATAAAGAGCAAGAAGAAAGTAAAGGTTAGTAATAACTTTCATCTCCTTCCTTCAACTCATTAAACAAATATTAGATGGCTAAGAACAGAGACAATTTATCAAAGAAGACACTGGATACTTTAGCAAAAATAAAGAAAATAAAACCTAATGATTCTCACAGATTAACAACACTTTCCCCATATAAGTACAGTAATAGCTTAAACAATACGCTTGGGTTGAACCAGAATTTGGGGCTAAAGTCCAGAGAAAGTTCTGTGTTGATAAAACCTTCACAAGATACAACTGTTTCCTCTCAGGAATCGACTAAAATCATGCAGGATGAGGAATCTAAAGCTCAAGAATATGGCCTTGCTCAGGTCAATAATCTATCAAAAGAAATATATTCATTGAGAAGGAAGCAAAACGAGCTTATAAGTGAGAGAAAAGCCGACAAAACATCAAGCAGTTATAGAAATTATATGAATTCTATCCTAAGAAGTGATAATAGAGATTTGTCTAAACGTGATACTCCTAGTTTGAAATTACTCAGAAGAGATAAGCCTAGAGTCAGTATGCATGAGAGTTTTGATATTCGGCAGCATACTAATCATACTAAAAATATAGTAATCAGAAGTGCATCCAAAAAGCTAGACACTTTTAACAATTTCAATAACCCTAAAAGTGTGGCAAAGAAGCTCAAGAGAGAGGTACAATATACTTCTCATCTGCCAAAGATCAATAACTTGAAGAATAAAATTATTCAGTCTTACGCAGAGATACTGCCTTCAGTGTTTAAAAATAGCTCGAGCCAATATCAAAGCCAGATTAACGAAAGTACAACTAACACTAAATTAACTCAGATTAAGAACACAGTGATTGTGAATTATGGAGGATTCTCTGAGGGAGGCTTTGACCCAAGAGTCATTAAAAAGGAGAATCAGGATTCTTTTTAGAACTCTAGTCAATTTTAACAAGTCTCACACCACCAATTCTCATTTATTCTGTCTCTGTAAGTGTTATAAAGTAAACATTTAGGTGATGGCCATGGCCTCAAAGGAAAGACTATAAGTGAGTACTTAGTAAATAATATGGCTAAATATTTGAAAATTTATCTCAGCAAAGAAGGATCGAACCCTTCATATTCCCTTCTCTCTGCATACAGATATCTAGATTGCAAACTTGAAATGGAAGGACTTGAAGCCATTAACAGTGGGTCTACTTGATGAACTGCCCTTATTATTGGAAAGAAAGTATATTTTGCTAATACTGGAGACTCAAGAGCACTTTTTGTGACATTTGACTCACTTGAGGACACAATACAATCCTCTTTCATTCAAACTACTAATGACCATAACTGAGAAATAGAAGAAGAAGCGTTAAGAATAAAATAAAAAGGGAGGAAGAATATTTAAAATTCAAAACAATATCGGTCCCTTACGAGTTTGGCTACCAGATCAAGATAAACCTGGACTGGCAATGAGTAGATCTATTGGAGATCATTCTGCAAGAAAAATTGGAGTAATTGCAACCCCTGATATCTATAAGTTTGATATCATTAGAAAATCTGCCATTATCATTGGAAGCGATGGACTTTACGAGTATCTCACAAATGAAGAAATCTCCCAAATAGTCTGGGACAACTGGGGGAAAGACGGAGATGTAGTTTCAGAAATTATTGTAGGAAAAGCTATCGAAAATTGGGAAGAAAATAGCGATTACAGAGATGACATAACCTGAGTGGTTACATACCTCAAACCAAACGGGGAGCACTAAGCAAATTTCAACAAATAAATTTATTTATGGGGTTTTGGGGTTTTGGGGTTTTGGGGTTTTGGGGTTTTGGGGTTTTGGGG